CTGAAGTATTCAGCTGGACGTGGGCCTCTCCCGCTGTAGGGAGGATTTGAATTAATCGTCTCACTTGGCAGCCGGATCGACGATCGTAGTACGAGACGTCTCTTATCTTTATGATTCCCGTAACTAGCCTGGGTTGTTTACGCCAGGCATGAAATACATTATTATATCGCCATCTGTTGCTAGCATCAACATATTACTGGTATATCACATAAACACTTCTTACGATACCTACGCGTTGAAATAGCGTGATGGATTTCCTACAAACAAGTCAGACTTGTACATACTAGTAAAAGTAAAAAAGTAAAGTTCCAGTCTATTTACGTCCCACTGCTGGGCACAGGCCTCCTCTTATTTCTTAGAGGGTTTTAGGGCAAGGATATGTCAGCCGCGCTGCCCCAATGCGTGTTGGCGAACTTCACATGTATTCGAAATATTTTTTTCTTATTTCTCAGACATGCAGGTTTCCTCACGATGTTTTCCTTCACCACCGAGCGCATTATTAGCACTTAAAATTGCAATTAACAATTTCATTGGTGCCGGCAGGGATCGAACCCGGGTTGCTCGAATACTGTGAAACTTACAGCGAGCGCTAACCATCTGAGCTACCACGACTCTTATAGTAATTTATTATTAAATATTTCACCAGCTTAATTGTGAGATCGTCATTAATTCCGTGGTGTACAAATGGATAAGTTTCGCTTCACCAATCATTTGAATATCAAATGCAGCGTTATTAACAGGAAAGAATGTCCAGTTTTCTTTATATTATCATCACACTAACATTAATACTAAAATAAATTAATTTTAAAGTCTTAAAATTCTCAATGAGCTGTAAGTTCAATAAGCAGTTATTCTAATTAAATTGCACTTCCTTTAAATTCGGATACATCTAGAACCTCTGCAAACCTGTGCAAAGCAAGGTGCAAAAGCAAATCCTTTATAACGTAACTTAAAGGGGAAAGCTTTTCAGCAGCGCTTGCCACTCAAAAACATCAAAGGCTACGGTTTCGCACAAGTTGAGCTAGTTATATAGCAGATTTAACTGCAAGGAATTGCCATCAAATAGTTTTCTTCAGTTTGAATTGCTTCAATACAATCATTCTAATTAATAAACGCATGAACTTTTCTGTACAATAAACTTCCCAGCATGCACCGGACTTCGTATCTATATTCCAAAATGTTATGATACAAATTATACATATCAAGTTTTTCAGGTTTTATCACGTTTTTGAAAGATCAAGCTACAGAGCCTGGCATAATTCATATCAAGTTTAACTCCTTCTGTCAAAACAATATACCAAACAACATTCACTGTTTTGTAACAATTAGGATTATAAAAAAAGTGAAACAGTGTATAAATAATCTTGTAAGCTGTTATTCAAAGAAAGGAATGACAATGAAAACGAAATAATATGTAAGTATAATTTCGAAAAATACACAGTTTAAAAGTGATATTATGATAAAGTTACATTGTGACTATATAGATATTTTAAAGGAAAGGGATCAGCTCCAGGGGACAGTCGATGAGTTTGGTCGATGCAGCAAAGAATATGAAAAAGCCCACATATTAATGAATGACAATGATGCTGCATTGAAATTACACTTAACTGGAGCTAATGAGCAAATTTCACAATTTAAACAATACATTGATAATTTGCAAGAATTTCAAGCTAAGGGTCTGTACACTTAGCTCGTAGAACGTAAATCTCATAAAACGTTGCAACACTCCACAACAATAGATTTGACTGATGATTCTGCCACATCAAGAACAGCAGAAAGAATTACAAGCAGCAGTACGAAATTCAGAAAATATGTAATAAAGATCAATAAATATATTAGGGAAGTGCAAAAATTAGTTAAAACTAAAATTATATAAATATATGTAAGGAAAAGCACGAGTTAATTAGTAAACTTAAACTATATTCGATTGAGGTAGAAAACATGTTGTTTCATGTGTGTTATGAGTGAAACAGTGTCTTAATTCAGAAAATTGATCCCTTCAAACCTCATTACAAATTATGTCTAATAAATATAAATCAGCATAGAATGAGCTAAAAGTACACATACTGGCAAAAAATAATCTGGTTAAGTCATCTTAATATAACGAGGAAAGTTTTTACTCCTTATTAAAATATCAAAATGAATATCAGCGCTCAATGCCAGGTGCAGGTGCAAACGCATGTCATATTACTAACACACACTGTCATAGAGATATGACAGTGTGTGTTAATAATATGATATGCAGAAATACTTCATTTTCTTCACCTACACTCGATGGCATATCAAAGCAGATAAATTTAAAAAATAATTCATATAATGAAAAAAAATGTTATTGTGTATAATGATGGCATTGGCAAAAACTTGGGAATATCATTATTAATATCAATCAAATAAAGTTTATCAATATAGTTCTTACAATTTTTTTTGTAATTCTAATTCAAAATGTCATACTTAATGATGCTCCAGGCATGCATTAATAACTTATTTGTTTCCCTTTTAAATAGCTCATCATCATTATCATCATTACAGCCCCTCACAAGTCTACTGCTGAACATTGGCCTCCCCCAAGGAATGCCACAAAGCACGGTCCTGAGCCACCTGCGACCATCCATCGACGTCCTGCATATCTTACCAGGGCGTCACTCCATCTAGAAGGATTATGCTCTACATTTCGTCCGCTGGTACTAGGCCGCCACTCGAGAACCTTTTTTCCCCATCGGTTGTCAACTCTTCGAGCTATATGGCCGGCCCATTGCCACTTTAGCTTAATAACCCTTTGGGGTTTGTCGGTAACTCTGGTTCTACTGCGTATATCCTGATTTCTAAGTTTATCACGCAGAAAAACCCCGAACATAGCCCTCTCCATAGCTCGCTAAACGACCTAGAGCTTCCTCATACGGCCAGCAGTGAAGGACCACGTCTCAGTTCCATAGATCATCACTGGCAACACAAACTGGTTGTACAGTCTAGTTTGTAAGTTTTTACGTATACCTGATGAGAAGATGTGCCGTAATTTCCCGAACGCTGCCCAGCAGATTAGATTCCGTGGATTGACCTCTCGGTCGAAGTTGGACTTACCTAGTCGGGCTATTTATAAGAGATAAACATACTCGTCAATAAATTCGCGCATTAAATAACTGCATAGGTATGACATGGACGTTACACATGACTTTTGTTTTGTCCATGTTCATCTTAACCTATCCGTTGAGTGAAACTAGTGAGGTCATTGAGCATAGTGCTTATGTCCTCCAGCGATTGTGTCATAAGGACTATATCGTCTGTAAATCGAAGGTGAGTGACGTACTCGCCATTAATGCGATGAAGAGTTTCTGGAAAGCAACATCACCCTGTCTTATACCTCTCTGCAGTTGGATAGGTTTCTTACTCAGATTCTGTACTCCGATATCCATTGTAGCCAGTATAAAGACATCAGCACTTCGATATGCCTACAGTTAACTTGGCACCGCTGAAGGTACTGCAGTCAAAACCGCCCAAATTTTGACGGAATCAAAGGCTTTCTCATAGTACACATACGCCAGGCATATTGGCAAATTGTACTCTTCCGACTTCTGTAAAATTTGCCAAAGGGTATGTATGTGGTCTGTGGTACTAAAGCTTTTTCTGAAACTGGCTTGTTCGGGAGGCTGAAAGTCGTGCGAGACGATTGTTGAAAACAGCACGTAGACGCGGCTCAGAACGTAATCGGTCTGTAGTTCTTCAAGAGAGCGTTGTCACCTTTCTTGAAGAATAAGACCTCCGCCCTTCTGCTGCACGCCTCCAGTGTACTGCAACCATGGAGTACGGAATTAAAGAGCTTCAGAAGAACTTTAAGTACCCGTTTTCCACCCACTTTCAGAAGCTCTGCTGTAATTACATCCTCGCCTGAGGCCTTGCCCATTTAAAGTGCTGGAGAGCCATTCTCATCTCACCCAGACTGAAGTCCGGAATATCGTCGGAATAGTGTCAGATAAGAGTTGCTCTTGGTTCGTTACTCACACTTGCATGTGGCTCCAACGATGATATATACAGCTGTCCGTAGAACCTCTCAATCTCACTTAAAATCTCAGGTATCCCGGAAACGACGCTGCCACACTCGGTCTTCAGCTTCGACAGTTGGCTCTGTCTGGCAGACAGATCTCTAGCAAAGACTTTGGAGCCTTGGTTCCGCTCGATCGCTTTTTCAATAGGTGCTGTATCGAAGTTGCGTAAGTTCCACCGCATGCATTTGGAGATCTGTCTGTTCAGTTGCATGTACGCTGTCAAATGTGCTGAAGACTGCAGCTTCAATTCATATCTAACAGCCATGAAATTAAGAGTGTGATCGAAGAGTTTTTGTGGTCTTATGCGGCGGGTCTTGCAGAACTTAGCTCCGACCACATGGACAGTTTCCACGAGCTTGTCATTCATATCGTCCACTGCATTGTAATCTTCTAGGCACTTTAAGTGGTTTTGTAACTCGAGCTGAAAGGTGTCGGGACTTTTAACTACAACAAGAGGGGGACGGAGCGTTGACTTCATTAGACGAGACCTCTCCAACTTAACGTTTAGATTCAGTGTGCCTCTAAGCATTCGGTGATCGCTACCAGTTTTCACCCTTGCGATGACTGAGACATCACTGAACAGTTGTCGTCTGGTCGTCATAATGAAGTCCACCTCATATTTTGTCGAACCGTCGGGGCTCGACCACGTTCACTTTCTATAGGGCCGCATCTGGAAGAAAGAATTCATCATAAAAAGTTTTCTTTTTTTATGAAGTCAGCTAGCTGGCCCCTTGGGTTCCGTTGCCCTATTTATAATTGCCCTACCTTCAACTCATCCTTTCCTCTTGTGCCTAGTTTTACGTTAAAGTCTCCCATTAACATCGTATAGTGGGTTTCGGAGGAATTCATTGCTCTAGATATATCCTTATACATTTTCTCCTTCTCCTCATCAGGATGTGCCGAGGTTGGTGCATAAACCTGTGTAGTGGTTGGATATTGAATAAACAACACTTACTTCTTAACTCCACAACGTTTATTTTGTCACACACAATGTTTTATACTGTTTATAATTTACAAGGCCCACAAACACAAGCAAGTATTATATATTAAGGCGTGAGATAGTAACACAGCACAGAAGTATACAGTAAGCAAGTCAATAGAATAGGAAGAAGAAAATTAGCGTAAACAGTATAGCGTAATATAATTTTTACAAGCGCAAGCGACACGGAAACACTACGGAAGTCTGCGGTCAACTGAAGGACGGCCGACGACGTACGCGCAAGTTCCTTTGTTCTAATTATTTACCTGGAGCGTTAGAAGACATTTATACGATACGATTTTTACGTCGTTGGCCTTCCGACATATCAACAACTAGTAAGCGTTTTATATAACATTGTGCACGTATTGTATTACATTTATTTATATACTACATACTGTTTATTTATACATTTTAATTTATACATATACTTATTATTTATAAAAATTAATATTTAATACAAAACTAAACAAAATTTATTTTTACAGCTAATATCGCAGTCCACCACACCACTCCCCCCCCCAGTGACCGTCCTACGGGCGATAATATTCCGGGGCCAGTACTTCTCGCCCAAAACGCGTTTGTTTAATATTTGAATCTCCTTCCTTCCTTGAAGGTAATGAAACTTCCGGCGGAGTGGGATTACTGTCAACGAGTAGATAAGCTGGTTTTAATCTATCTATTGACACTGTTGTTGCTTTGCCGTTTAAAAGAATTTTAAAAACCTTATCAGTTCTGTCAATCACTTTGTGTGGTCCTGAATAGGCGGGTTGAAGGGATCCTCTAACAGCGTCTTCTCTTAGGAAGACGTGGGTTGTTGTGGCGAGATCTTTAAAAACGAAGGTTGTCTTTTGACAATGACGAGAAGCTGGTTGTGGTTGAATGTTTCGGACAATTGAACGTAATCGAGTGGTGAAATCAGTAACATCAGTGTTTATATGTGGAGAAGGATGTAATAACTCTCCAGGCAGTCTAAGTGGCTCACCATATACTATTTCGGCAGGAGAAGTTTTTAAGTCTTCCTTGATTGCACTACGTATGCCTAGTAACACTAGAGGAAGAGCTTCTGTCCAGTTTGTATTGGCGTGGCAGGTTATTGCTGCCTTAAGCTGTCTATGAAACCTCTCGATCATTCCGTTACAGGCTGGATGGTATGCTGTAGTTGGTTTGTGTTGGAATCCTATCATTCTCGAAAGGGCCTTAAAAAGTTCCGACTCAAATTGACGTCCTCTGTCCGTAACCACTTCGCTAGGGCAACCAAAGCGTGCTATCCATCCGGATATCAGGGCTTTGGCGACTGTCTCAGCGGTTATATTTTTTATAGGTATGGCTTCAGGCCATCTACTGAATCGATCTATAACAGTGAGGCAGTACTTGTATTCATTTGATACAGGTAGTGGTCCAACAAGATCTATATGTATGCACGAAACTCTCTTACGTGGTAGCTTAAACGTACCAAGTGGCGATGATACATCATGTCGAGTTACTTTTGTCTGCTGACATGGGTGGCAGGTTTTGGTCCACTGTCGGCAATCTTTTCTCATTCCAGGCCAGACGTAGCGCTGTGCAATTAATTTTACGGTTGCGTTAGTGCCAGTGTGGCTTAAGGAGTGAAGATTTTCAAAAACCTGACGCCTAAAGGGTTTAGTAACGAAAGGCCTGAGTGAGTCGTTATTGTCATCACAGTATAATTGCGTCTGTGTTCCAGGTATGGTAACTTGACGCAGGCGTAGTGATGTTGTATTCAGTAAAATTTCTTTTAACTCAGGGTCGTCGATTTGTGATTTAGCCAGTGCCACTAAGTCGACAGGTAATGTTAATTCTTCGATTCTGGACAGTGCATCCGCCACGACGTTATCTTTACCTGATACATGCTGAATGTCCGTGGTAAATTGCGATATAAAGTCCAGATGTCGGAATTGCCGTGGAGAGCATTTGTCTTTCCGTGTGTTAAAAGCGAAGCAAAGAGGCTTATGATCTGTGTACACTGTGAAGTGTCTGGCTTCAAGCATATGTCGAAAATATCGGATACCTTCGTAGATTGCAAGCAGCTCCCTATCATACGGAGAATATTTGTTTTGCGTTGGACTTAGTTTCCGAGAGAAGAAACCCAATGGCTGCCAACAATTGTTCTTCCGTTGTTGCAAAACTGCACCTATGGCGGTATCCGATGCATCAGTAACCAATGCGAGTCTTGCATCTGAGTCTGGATGTGCCAGAAGAGCAGCTGTGCATAAGCTTCTTTTGCAGTTTTCAAAAGCTGTCTTTGTATCGCCAGAAATGTTTACTGGATGAGAACCTTTCACTCGTCCTGTCAATAGGGCATGAAGTGGTGCTTGAATTTTTGCCGCACCGGGGATGAATTTGCGATAGAAATTCAGTATCCCTAAAAATCGACGAAGTTCTCTCACCGTCTTTGGTATCGGGTAATCTTGAACGGCTTGTACTTTGGTTTCGAGTGGCATTAATCCTTCTGCCGATACCTTGTATCCGAGAAATACTACCTCCTTTGCTCCAAAGACACACTTAGATGTATTTATGACAGTTCCGTATTCTTTGAGTCTATCGAATAACTGACGAAGATGTTCTTTGTGTAATTTTTCGTCTTTGGAGAAAATGAGAAAGTCGTCCAAATAGGCAAAGCAAAAATCCATACCTCTAGTAAGTTCATCAACGAATCTCTGAAACGTTTGGCCTGTGTTTCTAAGGCCGTACGTCATGTACCGGAACTCGTAGAGGCCAAAAGGTGTTGTAATTGCCGTCTTTGGTATATCCTCTTCACTAACCGGAATTTGGTTGTACGCTTTCACCAAGTCTATTGTTGAAAATATTGTACAACCAGATATGTTATGGGTAAAGTCGTGGATATTTCGGATGGGATAGCGGTCTGGGATTGTGCAGGCGTTGAGCATCCGGTAGTCGCCACATGGACGCCATCCATTTTCCTTTTTCGGTGCGAGGTGCAATGGAGACGACCAAGCGCTTTCAGATGGGCGTGCTATTCCGTTTTTAATCATTAATTCAAACTCTTGTTTTGCTACCTTGAGTTTGTCTGGCGCTAATCGCCGTGGTGTGAAACTGATTGGTGGGCCTGGCGTAGTCCTAATATGATGGACAGTGCTGTGGGGTGCTACACATTGAATTCCAGCTGGACGAGTTATTTCTGGATAGCTACGGAGCAAGTCGTGGTAACGAGAATCGCCGATCATTGACTTAACTGAAGAGATAGTGTTCGACGATGTTACTGGCGAAGCTATTGTTGAGAGTGATGTGGTAGTGTCTATAAGGCGTTGGTTTCGAAAGTCAACCATAAGACCATAAAAAGACAGGAAGTCGACGCCGATGATAGCCTTCGTGACATTAGCCACGATGAAACGCCAAGAGTAATCGCGACGTAAACCGAGATTTAGCTCCAGATGTACGTATCCGTAAGTTGTGATAAGTGAACCGTTAGCGGCATAGAGTTGATAATTGGTACTAGGTCGACGTTCACGGAGCGATGTGTACGGGAAGACGCAGAGGTCACTGCCAGTATCGACAAGAAACTGCATCTTTGTTCTTCGGTCCGAAACGAATAGGCGACCAGTTGTACTGAGGCAGTCGTGTGTCGCCATTATCGACTGCCTTGGCAGTTTTCCGGCTTGAAGTCGCAGGGCTTAATGCATCTGTCTGCCTTGTTTCCAAATTTGTGGTGATACCAGCATGTGGGAAATTTCCTGTAATCAGATCTGGAGTGGCTGGTCTTACGTGCTCGTCTGGTGTTGCGAGTCAAAGATCTTGGCCTGTGTACGCGCGTGGAGAGGGCTTGAACTTGCTTTGTAAGTTCGCAAATTTGATTAGCCATCGTCTGTAAGACTGAACTTTGCGTGCACTCTGCAGCGGCGACTTGAGGTGTTAAAGGCACAATGTCGTAGACGCGGTCAGTTAAGTCTGCTAAAGCCTGCAAATCTGAGGTTGTCTGTGATGCTATCACTGTCTGTATGCTATGTGGTAAACGGCTGCACCAGATGGTTTTAAGGAAATCATCAGGTACGCTAGGTCCAGCGAGATGCTGTAGATGGCGTAGAAACTGTGATGGTCGACGATCACCCAGCTCTTCATGCATAAGTAGCTGCTTCACCTCCTTTTCACGTGTCGCAGAGAGTCGTTTTATGAGCTCGGTCTTCAGCTTTTCATATTTGTCTTTGTCAGGTGGTGAGAGAATTATGTCTTTAACTTCTGCTGCGTATCTCTGCTCTAGGGTTGACGTAATATAATAAAATTTTGTTGCGTCGTCCTTTATTCCAGATAACAGAAAGTTGCCTTCCAATTGAGCAAACCATACTGCTGGCTCTTCCGGCCAAAAAGGTGGTGGTCGGACGCCGATACGGCAAATGTCGGAAGGTGTAAATGTCTTTTTTCCTTCGTCCGAATCGTTATCTTTGTGGGCGTTTCTGCTCGTAGAACTATGTGACATTTTAATTATTATTCACTTACTGTTCTGATCCTTCGGTGTTCTTCAGGGGTCACCAGTGTAGTGGTTGGATATTGAATAAACAACACTTACTTCTTAACTCCACAACGTTTATTTTGTCACACACAATGTTTTATACTGTTTATAATTTACAAGGCCCACAAACACAAGCAAGTATTATATATTAAGGTGTGAGATAGTAACACAGCACAGAAGTATACAGTAAGCAAGTCAATAGAATAGGAAGAAGAAAATTAGCGTAAACAGTATAGCTTAATATAATTTTTACAAGCGCAAGCGACACGGAAACACTGCGGAAGTCTGCGGTCAACTGAAGGACGGCCGACGACGTACGCGCAAGTTCCTTTGTTCTAATTATTTACCTGGAGCGTTAGAAGACATTTATACGATACGATTTTTACGTCGTTGGCCTTCCGACATATCAACAACTAGTAAGCGTTTTATATAACATTGTGCACGTATTGTATTACATTTATTTATATACTACATACTGTTTATTTATACATTTTAATTTATACATATACTTATTATTTATAAAAATTAATATTTAATACAAAACTAAACCGTGCCGTGTAGTGGTGGTTAAGAATATCCACTACCCCATATCTTCCCGTGGGTGTCGTAAAAGGCGACAAAGGGAAACAGGCAGGAGATGGGCAGCAGCATCTTCCTGGTAACGGCAAATACAATAAAAAACTGCGGTTGCCAACCCGCTCGCCAAGCGTGGCAACTATGGCAATATACCCCCCATAATGAAAGTTACGAAGAGACGGCCCCCAGTCCCCGGCGGCCCCGCTATTCCTGGCTACGGTGGCGACCATGGTAACGGCGGGGCAGGGGGTGCTAAGAATCTCCGGTGGAGGTTCGGTTGCCACCTACAACGACTCGACCTGGCAACATACAACGCACGCACCCTGAGGACTGACGAGAAGATTGTGGAGCTGGAAGAAGAGATAGACAAGTTACGCTGGCATATTATAGGATTATCCGAAGTCCGAAGAGAGGGGGAGGACACGGTAATCCTCGAATCCGGCAACTTGCTCTATTACCGGGAGGGCGACCATCTGTCCCAAGGAGGTGTCGGATTTATCGTCCACAAGTCTCTCGTTAACAACGTTGTAAAGATTGAGAGTGTGTCGACGAGGGTTGCGTACCTTATACTCAGAATCACCAAACGGTATTCGCTGAAGGTCATACAGGTTTACGCACCAACCTCGGCACACCCCGATCAGGAGGTGGAGGAAATGTATGAGGATATCTCTAGAGCCATGCATTCCTCCAAAACTCAATACACGGTGTTAATGGGTGTTGAAGCGCCTGTCAAATTATATTAGCAGTTCTCATGCCAATATTAGTCCGTAAGCTGTGTAGGTATGTTTAAAAAATGTTGTACCGGTCGTCGTTGTAAATTTAGAGATCAAGTAAAGGTCGATTGAGCAAATTACTGCATTTTATTATTAAAAACAGATCAAATTCCTATTCATGGTCCTTCGAGCCGGATTTGAAAAAACGTAATTGGACAAGATATTATTTAGTGGAATACGCTTGGGAAGTCTTAAATATTCGTTGTGGAAATACCACCGAGGGAGTGAAGATATTTAACCAAGAAATCTGGAGTCTTAGCCCCTTAGATATTGGACTATTATTTAATTTATTTAACCCAGCACTCATTATCAGGTAGTATTTTGTGTAAATCGACTGCTAATTTATCAGGCATTTGCACTAGTCTCCCAATACCAGCCAGCATACCAGAGGATAAGGAGCAAATTAGGAAACGAGCTAGTTACAAGGGACAAATAACAGCCTTTTCAAATTATTTAAATTCACTGAAGGTATCTTCATTGGCTGCTACTGAGGTAAATGAGTTGCAATTACGTATTAGTAGGATTGAGTCAATGTATGAACGATATGATGAGGTACAATTATCCATCGAGTGTAATACTGATAATATAGACGCCCAGATATCAGAACGAACTGATTTTGAATCCCTGTATTTTAAATCACTTTCTCTTGCAAAAAGGATCTTAGCAGATTGCATTAAGTCAGATGACGTAAGCAGTGACGGTGGCTCTCATTCCGGCAATCATAAATTTGTTAAACTGCCCACTATTCAACTACCTAAATTTAATGGTTCTTATGATAATTGGTTAGAGTTTCATGACACGTTCATGAGCCTCATACATTCAAATGACGAGATAGATGACATAAATAAGTTTCACTATCTGAGAGCGTCGTTGGAAGGGCCCGCTGCTGTGGTAATACAGTCAATCGAATTCTCGGCAGCTAATTACACCGTCGCATGGACTATATTATGTGATAGATATGATAATAAAAGACTACTAATTCAAAATCACGTGACAGCCTTATTTAATATAGCACCAATTAATAAAGAATTGTCTGTCAACTTAAAACGTCTTATTGACCAAATAAATAAAAATTTACGTGCACTAGAATCTCTCGGTGAGCCAACTAAACAATCTTCTCATTCATATTATTACTCAAAAATTAGATGCTAAGACATATCGTGAATGGGAAGAGTCTAAAGGTCGTTTGGAGAAAGATACACCTATTACGTTCGAAATATTTTTGATGTTTTTAAAAAATCGAGCCGATTTAATCGAAACACTAGAAATGTCTAATTCTGGTGCTACTAACCGTTTAAATTCTTCTATAAAATATGCTCCAAAAGTTAAGGCAATGGTTTCAGTTCGGGATACCGGTAATAAAAACGGTTCGGCCTTTTCCGCCAAACTGTGTCCTAAATGTAAGGGTGACCATAAGTTAAGCAGTTGTCCTCAGTTTCTTGGATTAAGTAACGATGTGCGTCTACAGTTACTGCCAGAGTATAAAGTATGTTTCAATTGTCTTAATTCAGGACATTATGCAAATCACTGCAAAAAGCCAGGATGCAAAATATGCCACCGAAAGCATAACACTCTCGTGCACGTCGCAGATTACCAGTCAAAACCAATTACAGATATTAATACATCTAACACGAGTAGTGGTAATAATAAGCCCGTTATGCAAGGTCATTTCGAACAAACAAACAGTTCGACAGGCTCACAGTTGTCATCCAATTCTAACGCACATCTGTCATTATCCGCAAAGGTAGGCACTGCATCGTGTAGTGAACAAGGCGACGTATTGTTATCGACGGCATTAATTAAAGTTATAGGTAAGAATGGTTGTCCATATATTGCTCGTGCTATTCTTGATAGTGGCAGTAACGCTTGTTTAATAACTGAAGAGTTATATCAAAGGCTAGGTTTGCCCGCTCAAAATGTAAATCAGTCGGTAGTCGGTATTAATAATGCTTCGGCACACATCAAGAAGATTTGTAAGGTATCGATAAAATCATTGAATGATAACTTCTCTAGTAATCTTCATTGTTTTGTCCTACCATCAATAACCCAAAATGTACCTACTAGATATGTTAATTTGTCAAACTTAAAAATTCCATCTAATATTTCTCTGGCAGATCCTAATTTTCACTCACCTGCTCCCGTTGACATGCTTATAGGTGCTGATGTCTTTTGGGACTTAATAGGAACGCAGAGATTAAAATTAGGGGACGGTCAGCCGATTCTTTGTGAAACTAGCTTAGGATGGTTAGTATCAGGTCCGATAGATTATAGATATGTAAAGAAAGGGGTTAACTTTATTAAATGTAATTTTACAAGAATATTTCAAGATGAGGCTAGTAAAGATTTAGATGAAGATATACAAAAACAATTAGTACGCTTCTGGCACCTCGAAGAGGTAAGCCCTGCGTCTCTTTATTCAAACGAAGAAAAATTATGCGAAGAACACTTTTTAAAAAACACCACGCGACTGGCAAATGGTCGATTTTGCGTGAGGATACCCTTAAAACATAATCCTGACGTATTAGGTGATTCTTGGCCACGAGCTAAAAAGTGTTTACTATCGCTAGAACGCAGGTTAGCAGGTCAATCTCAGGTCTATGAAATGTATAAAGAATTTATGTCAGAGTATGAAAGTCTGGGTCATATGGAGAAATGTGAGAATGATAATTTACCACGTAAGATGCATTTTATACCACATCACGGTGTGCTGCGGGAAAGTAGTACTACTACTAAATTAAGAGTCGTTTTCAATGCTAGCAGTCCGACTTCTTCGGGTGTTTCCTTGAATAATATACAGATGGTAGGTCCCGTGGTACAGGACGACCTTTTGTCCATTCTTTTACGCTTTCGGCTACACAAATACGTTCTCACAGCTGATGTTGAGAAAATGTACCGGCAAATAGTCATTCATCCCGATGACCGCTATTTGCAACAAATTGTCTGGCGTGATAACCCTTCAGAACAGCTTCAAGCTTATCAACTTAACACCGTGACTTACGGCACCTCTAGTGCTCCCTTTTTGGCAACTAGGTGCCTCCAACAATTAGGCTTAGAGTGTACCGATGACAAGGTTGCTCAAGTGATCATTCACGATTTTTACGTTGATGACTTGCTAACGGGAGGGGATGATATTAACGAGGTTACAGATTTGCGCCGTAAAGTGACTTCCACACTTGCATCAGCTCATATGGTTTTGCGAAAGTGGAAGTCGAATGAATCTCAACTGGTTAGTGAGAATGATATTTCTCCGCTTGATTTGAATATTGGTGGCTTTGAACCGACTAAAACTTTAGGCCTTGGTTGGCAATCACATACTGACCAACTTTGTTTCCCTATAGGAGGGCTATTCTCAGGTAGAACAAAGCGTGATATGTTATCTGTGATTTCTCAGATTTTTGATCCACTAGGACTTCTATCTCCCTGTGTAATTAAGATGAAAATGCTTCTTCAACAGTTGTGGCTGCTCAAGCTGTCATGGGATGAGCAGTTGACGCCAGAAATCAGCAAGATGTGGGCTGAGATAATAGTCGATTTATCTAAATTAAATACTCTACGTATTCCACGTCGTGTTATTTGTGACTCGCCTAGTTTGTTTGAATTTCATATTTTCTCGGACGCTTCTGAGCGAGCATATGGCGCCTGTTTATATGTGCGTAGGGTTAATGATCAGGGTGAGGTTTTAATTCAATTATTGATGGCGAAAGGTCGTGTCGCGCCGCTTAAACCTATAACAATCCCAAGACTGGAACTTTGTGGTGCACTTGTTGGAGCTCGCCTTTACCAAAAGGTTGTAGCATCGCTGAGACAACAGGCTAAGCGCACTTTCTTTTGGACAGATTCGTCCATCGTGTTAAGATGGTTAAAGGTGTTACCTAGCAAGCTACAACCCTTTGTCAGAAATAGGGTTGCTGAAATATTAGAGAAGACTGGAAATTGCGAGTGGAGGCA